ATGTTCTCTTCTTTGAGAGAAAAAAATCTTTACCAGAAAAACACAGTCCTCTTATGTGCAAGAAACCTTCAGCAGAAGGGAAAAGAAGTGAAAAGAGAAGGATATTAAAAATCCCCTGGGAATTACTTCCAATTATGAAGAGAGCAAAAGAGTAGGGACTCTCTATTTATCGAGCGCTTACTCTGTGCCACACATTAGAGGCTGAGAGAGCGCACCGCTGCCTCCATAAGGTGAATGACAGACTAATTCCTAAAAGCACGAGCAGCAGGCTGACAAGCTCAGGACTAAATGAGCAGACAAAGGCCGCTATCGGATGGAATGGCATCTTTCACTCCAGGATAAGGGAAAGCAACCAGAACTGGGAATGTTCCCCAAAGAGGTTCTGATACCATCCTGATCCAATATCCTGTCAGTAGCATCTCAAGGAGGCAGTGGGATTTAAAATTCAGGAAGTTAATTAGCTGACAAGCTTACATTTGTGCTTATATTTTCTTAAATTTTGCTTTGGAATTATTTTTATAAATACAGTATTCTTAATCATGCTTATATGCTTTAAAAATTTTATCTCAATAAGACATAACAGTAGAAAATAAGTTACAATCTTGAGCTCCTGTTTACTACGCATATAAGCCTGGCTTTTTGGACAAGGCCAAATAATCCATCCCCCTGTGTAGCTCATCTGAATTACGGGCAATACTATCACATTAAAAACCTCTCCTTTCCTAAATATTAAAGTATGTACCTACCCAGAAGTTGTCTTGAAAAGCATAAACCCATAAAATGACAGCAAATTCCATTAGACATTTAGGCAATTACCTTGATAATTTTAACCATCATAAACTACTAAACTGGATTATCTCTGAACAAAATTGTTTGACTTTCTGTCCTCTGCCTTAAAAAGCCAAAAAAAAAAAAACCACACACACAAAAAAGGCAGAATAATGATGTCGTTATTCTTTTATAATATTAACACTGTAATTGTAAACTAAAAACTTGTACAGGTGTGGGATTCTATAAAAGGCGTGTTTTGTGACAACACAGGCCTAGACATTTTCTCCCATTGGACAGATGAACGGCTTGCAGTCACAGCACTGCCTTAGTCCACATTGGCAATCTCACTTGTGTATTCCAAAGTATACCAACTACATAACATGTTTTCATAGGTGATGGTTTCCTGTCCCAATGGAGTATCTTTTTTTCCTCTTCTTTTAGTGAATTTGGTCACACAGTATTTAGAGGTCAGAGTTAAAATATGCATGCAGTATTTAGCTAGCCAAATTAATTTTAAGTTTAGTTCCATGAAAGGAAAATTTAGTAAGCAAAGGAGACACACTATTTTAATTGCCAACATCTAGGGAGATCTCATATGAACATCTCAGACTTACCGTCTTCCCTCTGTGGTGACAATTAGCTGGAGCAGAGTAATGATATCCACCTACAAGCTCTCCCATCCCCACCTCTCTCTCAGGTCTCCAAGGCCCTGAGATCAAGTCAGTGGCTATTTATTAAGGCACTCTGTGCTGCTCTGTCTTTCTTAGAGAGGAGCTAAAAAAACCCATCAAAGTGGGAAAACAGCACAGACAAGATTAATGGGAGAAATGAGTGAAAGTAAATATTTCTGTGTTTAATATAATGCAAATAAAATGTGTCTAAAAAAGACAATTATTTCACTATAAAAAAATCATGCCTTTCTTCACTAATTTGTATTATATGCTTAGTTCCCATATGCATTTTACCTTGTTGACCTCTAGAATATCAATTATTTGTAAGTATTTTTGGAAAAATCCACTTTATCTGATTTCATTGTTTATTTAAAGCACCCCCAGTTACAGAAGTAAGAACACATACTCAAACTGATCATTTTAATATTTTGTCCAATACTGGAAAAAATGGTTTACAAGAATTATGTAGATTAAATGAGGTAGTTTTCTCTGTGATTGGTAGCTAGCAATGTTTATATCAGAGAAAATGATGGAGGCCTTGAGAGCGGCAGCAATGTGGCTTTTCCAGAAATGGAACCTTCAATAGGCTCAGCTGGCTGGATAAATGTTCTAACCTTCTGGGAAGTCCTGGATTTATAGCTCCAAAACTGACTGCATATACTTGAGACCCAAGCTGACGTTCAGTCCCTATCCCCAAACATCAAAGATAGGATAATGCTAAAAGTCCTACATGGACCCTGAGATTACAGGATTGTCTAAGAAAGTCCTTTCTTAAAAGCAAAGCTCTATGTTTTTAATAGCTTACAAAAATATGAGACACTTTCAAAGGCCACTATTTAGAATTAATCCCAACTGGGCCATCATTTTGGCAAGTTACTAAAGATATTAAACAAATCAGTAAAATCTGGAACTATACTTCAAAGACTAACTCTTATGTTCTTAAAGTCAGGATGAAAACAGTATGGGTTTTAAAATAAGCTGCTATAGCTAATTCGAAAGTTGTAATTTAGCAATTAAGATCAGTAGAAAGTATTTTACAAGACATGAAAAGGAATCATTCCTAGAAACAGCCATGACACAAGGACCTCAGCTGTCGACAGCACACCGTAACTCCCCGGCATCTTACCATTACAACTCCAGCAACTTAAAACTAAAGTACGGCACAATACTCCCTCGGCTTTAATTGAGTAACGGAGGTCTGTAGTTTAAGTTGCCACATTTAAGAGCTAGGGACTCACCAGTGGCTCTTCTACCCATCAAAGTATCAGAAAAGTATACTGCTGATGCAGTACTGGTCCATTCCAACTCTAGATATGAGACCCGGCTGCCAAGCCAGACCCCACGCCTGATCCCCACCCCGCCTCCCATCTGATACCGCTCACCCTGTGCTGTCTCATGGTGACCTTCTACACTTTGACATCTCCACAATTCCTTGGTTTCATCTGGTTCAGCAGTGTTTGGTATGGTATTCCCCACCACAAAATCTGTTCTAGCTGACATCATCAACCTCCTCTCTTTTCTATTCTACACAGTGAAGAAAAGTCAAAAAGAATTACTTTGGGCCTCCTAATGTCCACTCTCTGAAAGGAGAAAGGTAACAGGGAGAACTGCTGCCACTGAAAATAAACATCAACATTTGGCTCAAAACACCCAGAATTGTAATTATGTATAATATTAGGTATGCTGATCACAGAACTTTCAAACTGAAAAAATGTAGGGTTATTTCAGAATTATTAGCTTCTCCCCCCAGTAAGGAATTGCCAAGTGAAGCAACTAAAAATTTATTTTTGGGGATTCCTAGAAAATTTTGTGAAAATGTAAGATGTGTAAATATAAAGATGATCAAAAGACAGAGGAGGTCAGAATAATGAGTTTTCACTGGAAACCTTTCCTCAATGAATACAGATTCTATTGTAAAAGTGATACCCCAACCTTTCCTGAAAGTGTAGGGCATCGAAACTAGTGAGTCAATTCCATCCTGTCATAAAAATGCCACATTACACTGTCAAAGGGATCATTCTAGGCCTTGCATTTTTTCCCACCACCTGTTCTTTTCTTATTTGATCAAAATATGTGGGGTGGGCTGTGGCTCCCTTTAACTTTCAACCTACAAGAAGCCATTCCTAACTCTCTGTAAGATAACATTATGACACAGATCTCACAGGTGACTAGGTGTGGTAAGCAACAGGAATGTTGCTTTCCTTTGGTTAGGCCCAAGGCGTGGACCACACTAGAGAGTCCTGTTTATAGCACAGGGTCACTATCTAGCTGATATTTCTAAGGACCCACACTGGGCAATGGGAACATCTCCCTATCCTCTTCATTCTCAGGTCAACTTTGACAAATACAGTTCTATCTCCAGATAATTTATAAGTGTTGAAGTTGAAAATACACCATCATTTCAGTAAAAACTCTAACCAACTGTGATATATCATATCTACATCAAGAAAGGCATTAGTCAAATGCTATGTGTACTACAAAGTACCAGATAATTTATAAGTGTTGAAGTTGAAAATACACCATCATTTCAGTAAAAACTCTAACCAACTGTGATATATCATATCTACATCAAGAAAGGCATTAGTCAAATGCTATGTGTACTACAAAGTACTAACAAGTTGAGCAAGTTAAATTCTTCAGGCTTTTAAGGATTTCAACCCTATTTCTATAATTTAGTCCTTATCTTTGAACTCAGTTTTTAGTGGGTAAAATATAACATTTTAGGTATAACATGAGCTAGTGAGAGGCACAGAATGGCCACTAAAATGCATCCCACACCAAAAGTAGAGTCCGATGTTACGTCAGTCCTTTTTCATTTGGTAACAAGGGCAATTCCACTGATAGAAAACAGACTCCCAAATTTCAAAGGTTTTAAGTTTCTTTAGAAAAATCATACACAAAATAAAAAATATATTTATCAAGAACAATGATATTTCATTCAGCAAATTCATTTAAAACATGAGTTACAGTATAGAAAGAAATGACAGCATAAAGTTTTACACAACTAACTGATTGCAAAACCAGTCCCTTAAAAACAACACACCATGTGGTTTTAATAAAATGCAACTGCAGTTCCATTTCCCAAGCTGTCTTCTTAAGTTGGGGGTTTTCTGTAATTAATTTTACATTAACTTTTCTCCATAACAAGTTTAAAGATATATGTCATTTCCTCATCAGCAAGCACTTTATTCCCCAAAATGTTTCAACCAAGCAACTGATAACCAGGTGTCTCTGTTGTTGCCTCCATTTCTTTTATTTTGCTAAGGAATATGAAACTGCTTTGAAAGTCAGTCCAAGTTCAAGTCCACATCAAAGTTCTAGCACTTGGATATGTGTCCTCGTTTGCTTCTCAGGAAGCATGATTAAGAGTCATCTGTAGCTATGCAATTGAGATTATGATGAGCTTTCTTTCCTTTCTTCAAGTCAGCCAACTAAGTTCCACCTCTTCCTCCACCCACCTCTGGGAGCTCCACCTCCTCTAGCAGATCTAGAGTTGGGAGGCAGTGATTTTATTCAAAGTCTCTCAGTTTCTTCTGCAGTCAAATTATATCTGAGTTAAAGATTTTTTTAAAAAGAAAGAAAATATGTCTCTTTTTATTATTTCATCAAGAAAATGTTTTTAAAACCCTACCAGAAGTTTACCATCTGTCCCAACTCCATTCTATCAAGGCTCCCAAACAGCTTCATTTGCTGTGACTGTGCGGCAGGATGCCTTTACCAACTACCATCAGCACTAGCGCGATACGACAGATTGGGTTGCCTTCACTGCTCATTTCAACTATTTCTAAAAAGCAAAAGCCTCTATAATTATTTGGAATCTATCAGAATAAATTCAGTCTCTGAAAGTGAAGGTATTTGTGTTGTTTCTTTCTGTTGGGTTACATGCACATGACAAAAGGCAGGATGACTCGATTATCCCAGACAAAACTAGACAGTGTGTGTGACAACTGCAAGGGAGGTTGGCTAAGATACTCCTGCAGCTTAGAGAAACTAAAGCAAAGTGCAGGCTGGAATTGAGTTCTAAGCTAAGTCTCCCAGTTGAAATTCAAACTACAATAAAGAAGGCAGAGGGCCATTAATAGGATCAGTGTCTTAAAAAATTATCGAGGTGGAAAGCCACCTCTGTGTGCTCCTCCACGGCCTCCCCTAAAGCCACCCCGTTCTCCTCGGAAGTTAGATCGATTTCTCTCTCGTCCACGGCCAGCAGAAGTTCCACCTCTTCCTCCACCCCTGGGAGCACCACCTCCCCGATCAGATTTAGATTTGGGAGGAGGTGATTTTGGTCGAAGTCTCTCAATTTCTTCTGTGCATCCGGTCAAGTAGGAATTAGGGGCACTGAAGTAGGATGCATATGTTTCTGCATTATAGTTGCTGTTTGTCAGAGTTGGTCCAACTGTAAGCCAGCCTGAATAGAGAGAAAGAAAGATTATTCTTTTTTTTCAATTCTCTCTTATTGATCCTTTAGCAGCTATTTCAAATCTCCAATGCATTCTTAAAGATGTCCCTATCACTCACCCAATATTGATCTTTTTTACAGTATGCATGGCACTTAATCATGGTCATAAAGATTTCATATGTATATATTTTGTCTCTCCTCCTAAATTGTAACTTTTGTAATATATTTCCCTCATTGTCTCCATTCATGTTTCACATTCTGTGAGAACAGCACTTAAAAAAAAATATTATACACTACATTGAGTTTGGGCTCAGTGAAAATTTAATAAATTTTATATAACTTTCCTACTTGTGGAAATAGTACCATCGTTTTCTGATTAAAATCTTAGAACCAACTTTTGCCTCTTCTTTTGCCTCTTCCCAACCACAACATTAACCCAGGTGATAGGTCCCAGAAATTCAACCACTACCATGTTGCTCCATTCATTCCCATCTTTCCACTTCTACTGTCACCCTCAGGTTTAAGCCTTATTTTTCTACTAGGCCAGTCCCCTACACATGTAACATACATATATGGTGCAATGCTCTCCCAACCTCTCCTCCCTCTAAAAGTGGAAAGCCTTTGCTTAAAACAAGTCACTTCTCTGTACAACCTTCTAGGGCCACAAAGCCCAAATTCATAAATATGGAATCTAAGGTCTTTTATAATGAGGCCTGAACTAACTTTCCAATCACATTTCTCATTTTGCTTTTTACGACACCTTCATTTGAGTAAAACAACGAACCACTAGAGTAACTGCTTCCATACCAATCTCCACCTTTGTGCCTGTCTTCTTTTCTATCCTGTCAACCTGTTGAAAATCCCACCCTTCAACATCCAATTCAAATATATATCTTACATGAAATGAAAATAATTTCTCTATCAGAATTTCCATTGCACACTGTACTTCTGTAGGTAAAAAGGTATTTTTGTCAACTACATTGCTAGACAACTTTGCTTATAATAAGGATGATTTCTGACTGATTAAACTGTATCTGAAATGGGAGGAACTACAAATTAACTGTAAATGCACAATAGATACATCATGCCTGGTAATTCTTATAACAGACACATCTTTTGGGGAACACTGGAAATTGCCTACGGAGTGCTACAAAAGACATGGGCTCCTTTAGGGCAGGCAGGTCAAGTAATCTCTAAGAATCATGTTCTTCATCTGAAAAATTAGGTCCACAATATTTCTGCCCCATCATCCTCAAGGTTATTTCTTAGAATATTAGATCCACCATAAAATGCTATAAAATGCAAAATATTTTACTAGGATCACATTCTAAAATGTAGTAGCCATTTTTATACAATATTTTGTTCATCATTTGAAAAAATCTTCAGTATCTAATACTGCATGTACAGCAAGATTGTAATATTTCAAGGAAAAAAATAGGTAAATTATAATGTGCCTTTTATGTATCATCTAGTAAATACCCTGATCAGTAGAGAAGCACCTATCAGGTCAAAGAGCACACTGTACACCTATGTCGTCTCACTGACAACCGAACCTATGAGATTTTTGCTTGTTCTCTTCCAGTTTGTTTTGGGGCACATATGTGGTGGTGTGGAACACAACACACAAATAAGGGATAAGAAAGAAGAAAACTTAAAGATGTAATAAAAATAGCTACTACTGTCTCTTTCATGCCATATTGCCTCTTACACACATAAAACATGCAAATCTTTGCAGAGTAAACTGCAACGGACTCTACCTCCCACCTGCAAATTCTTCACTGTGACGTTTTATTACAATTTCTAAAGGTATTAAGAACCAAGTAAATTTAAAATAGCCTGGCTGCAGTGTATTTGACACATATAGCAATTTTTAAACCTTTTAAAGCGATGGTAAATGGTATTCCTAAGGCATATATGATATACCTTAGACTACCTCCTTGAGGAAGAAGCGTATTTCAGGATTCAACTCAAATAAATTAAGGCCTCTTCAGCAGACCTCTCTCAATTGCTCCCAGTATTATTTACATGGTTAGCCCCTAGCCACTTATAATTCCCCAAGCAGATTCTCCTTCCGAATTCTGTTTTACTGTAGCTAATATTAAAATAATTTTTGCAAGAATGGGGAAGAGTAAAGAATAAGATGGTAATTTACAAGCAAAAAATAAAATCTGTACCTCTAAGACTTTGTTCAACTGATACAGATACAGATAGAAGGATATCCTGTACGAAAGATATAATGTGTAGTCTAAAGTGGCCACAGCTAAATGACTGAGGAAGAAGCCCATCAAATATCACAGTTATAAATGAAAACTGGCATCAAGCAGAATCTCTATTTTGGTTGCTGCTTATGCTTATACCTATAACTACACTTAACTATTCTGTCTACTCCTTAGGTTCTTCTACTCGTGTTTAAAAACAAACACTTTCATTAAAATAATGCTATAAAGCCATTAAAATGATTTTAAATAATATTTAAAATGTAGAAATATATTTGACACAATATTGAGAAAAATACAGAATGATGACTACAATTATGTAAAAATTTGTATTGACAGGAGGACTGGAAAATATTATGTAAAAAATGAAAATAATTCTTGGAGGTAGTGAGATTGAATCTTTCTTCCTCTTCAAAATTTTCTTTAATGTTGTTACACAGATTTTTCAATTAGTATTAAAAGATTACCATCTGTTTGATGTTTCCTTTTACTCTTCAAATAGTTTTACATTTTCTTTAAAGTTTTCTACTTCCTTTAAACAGCAGTTGCTACTAGAGATTGTTCCCAGACTCGGGAGCTATTTTTGGGTAGGACACATTAACGATGGAAGAGAAAAACCTGTTCCTTATTTCCTCAAACACCAGAGCCATAATCTTGATATTCAATATATATGGACATCTACACTTCCTGAAAAACCCACCCTCCAGTTGAGTATCTAGTGGTGTCACTGTCCTGTAAGCCAATGAAGACGGAACATTTGCTTGCCACAAGTTCTGCTGCCCAAATATTTTTCCTTTGATAAGAGAGTAAAATCATCCACAAAACTTCCAAACACGATGTCCATGTATATGTGCAGAGGAAGTCTAAACAACTCAAAGCTTGTTTATAGTTATATATATATATATACACACACACACACACACACTATCTATATAACTTAGAATGAACTGTATATATATATTGAGAAAAACTGGTTTAAAAAAAATAAGGAAACTATAAAGTTTAAACCATAGCATTCCTACCCTTTAAAAATCAATATATTATTTTATGTTACACTTTAATAATTCAAGGATGCATGCTGCAATCTCCAAGAAACCACTAAAGGAGTAAGAACATCTAACAAGCGAATAAAAAGAAAAATGGAACAATAAAAGAATACTTAATCAATCCAAAAGAAATGAGAGAAAAAGGAACACAGAACAGGTGATAACAAGGTAAAGCAAACACTAAGATGGTAATTTATGCCCAAATGTATCAGGAATTATGTTAATATAGATGGGCTAAACAATTCAATTAAAAGATGAACTGGATGAAAAACCAACCATGTGTTTATTCACAAGAGATGCACCTTAAATGTAGGATATGAAAGATCGAAAGTAGAAGGATGGACATAATACGCCATGCAAACACAAACCAAAAGAAAGTGGAACAAAGTATCAGAAATTTCAACAAATTACAAGTGAAATTTTTTGGTGTATGTTGTTTGATCACAATATTAAGCCAAAAAGCAATAACAAAATGATAACTTAGGCAACACAACGCTGAATAACAAACTGCTGTGAGAAAAGACATTTACTTGTAAATATAGGGAACATTCTCTCTAAAGCCAAACCATAGAGTACACATTTCACATACAAAAAATTTCTTTGTAAAGAGACTTCAGTTTTACTTTTCTCTTGATTATTTTACATAATTTTATGAAATTTGAGACCATCAGTTTCTACAACTGAAATATTTTCAAGTTAATGTGTTCATCAAAGCATACCCACCAAGAAATAGCTGATGAGCTGGGGAGGAGGAGAGGGATGGATCACATTATACAAACAAATTAAGGCAACTTTAAAGATGACTTTTTTTAGAATGAACCTCAGAGTTTCTTCTAAATTCTCAGGTACTCTAAAGGCCAATTATTCTACTGTAACTTCTTCAACTTTTCTTCTTTTTATAAAATGTAGACTGTTCAAAACAAACAAACAAGATTCTGGTTCTTTCCATCTTTAAACCCTGTTTCTAACATGGTAAGGCCAAACAGATTGATCTTACATATTGTGACTGAAATGATCCAATGTTTTGAAAAATTACTTTTATATTTTCTGAGAAAGTAAGAAAACAGAATGTGCTGTCATTTCAACAACACTTTGCAAATAAAAGCTGTGCTCTCTAAAAGAAAATCCTAATCCATAATAGCCTAATTAATTTCTACTCACTTTTATTTCCAAAATAGTAAATTCACATTATACTGATTTAGTAAAAAGTTAAAATTTTGAAAAGGCACCACCAACATACATGTAAGGAAACAAGCCAGATATTTTAGTTTCTAATAAAGCCAAGATCTATATTTCACAAATGTATGATTATTTTTGCAGGATTATTCAACCATTCATTTATGCACGTCTTCCTTCAACACAATCTTTACTGAATGATCTGAACGCTGGGAAGAAAGAAGTGGAAAAGACAATCTTTGCCTTCTATGAGACCACATGCTAGAGAAACTGACTATAAACATATGCCCAAATGAATCTACAATTCAGATAATAAGTGCCAGGAAGAAAAAGAAAATAGATTAAGGGGAAAGAGTGGCGGGAGGAGGGGTGTGGGGTGGGAAGCCGGCTAGTTTAGACAGGGTTGTGAGAAAAAGTCTATCAGGTACTTGAACGGAAGGAGAGAGGGCTCTGGAAGAGCACTGAGACAAGAATGAGCTCGGGACATTTGAAGCACATCAAGAAGAGAAAGCAAAAACATCATAATTTTATTTTATACAGCTCTGTGTGCTATTTCTTGACACTTACATCCCAAGAAAACAGAGTTTTTAAAAAAATTTTTCTGAGGTCCTACCTGGTCGAATTGTACTATCTCTTCCAAATAGATGAAGGCGTCTTCTACCAAGACAAAAATGTTCAATTATATGAAAAATTTCTACGGGCTTTTCTATATTGCCAATTTCAGGTTCTTCTGTGATAATTAAGTCAATGTCAACATTAGCATGAATGAAGTCCCCGTCTGTGCTACGCTTCACAGTTCCTTTGATCCCCATAAGGCAGTGTTCCTAAATAATAATAACAGCAGACTCATTAATCTCTTTTCATCAACAGTCATATTTCACTCCATTTTACATTTCTGATGTTCCCAATTCCAAAACAATCCTCATTTCTCTGAATTTTGGGATATAGTTCTATGGGCAAAAACACAATAGGAAAACCTAGATCTCTGATGTGGGAAGATTGCCAGGGAAGCCTGACATGAGAGTCTTAAAGGTGGGGCCCACATTTTAGAACTGAGTCAATGACCATGGAGCCTTTTCTTCTGCAACACGTGATGACAACTTGTTTTCACCAGTTATGGAAACATGGCACTTGACTTTGGGATCTTAAAATGATGTTATATTGGGCCTCATATGATCCAAGATCAAAACTATATACAAGGTATAAGCCTTTTTATATGAAGAGGGAAACATTAAGCATAGGTATAGACTTCTAAACACTCAAGTAAATGGGAAAATCAAACAATTTTCTTTTTTTTGACCTTCTCTATTTAATCTGGATGGCAGAAGTATGGATTAAATAAAGTTAATCTCTCACTTGATTTCATGAACCAATAGTGGCACGGGTGGCATATGTCCCCTTCAAAGGAATTTTCCAGTCCAGGAAATACTTAATAAGAAAGACCTTCCCACCAGTGGCTCCCTACAGAATGAAAGACTGGGGAACAGCTGGTAAAGCCTCATACTAGCGGGGCAGTCATACAAAGCAGGGGATCTCAGGTGTTCTTAGGGTTCTGACAGAGGAAAAAGAAGAAGGGAAGAGGAGAGAAATATGCCTCTAAGCTGACCAGCTATGAGTCTTGCTGCCATCTGTTTTTTCTGGGCCTAGAAAAAGGGAAAAAATTGGAGGGATAGGGGTCGTCAGAGGTACCAAAAGCCCATATCCGACTTAGAATTACAGCAGTTTAGGACATACAGGAATACATATTACGTTCTCTAGCACAGTGGAGGTTGATCTAACATAGTGAATAAAATACTTTAAAATTAACTTGGATGTATTAATGTAATGCTCAATGCCATTTGTGTAAGCCTAAGAAAAGGACCTTTCCACCAAAAATAATTAAACACTATACAGTCATTTGGAAAAGCTTCAGAGAAAATAATGAAAACAAAGAAAACGGAACAGTAAAGGCAATACCTTTGTTCTCTGGAAGACAGCCTTTGGATCTAAAGTCTTAGTCTTCCCAGGATTGTTTTTATTGGTTTTAATCCAGCAAATATCTTCACATCTTCTGTAACCCCACTTGCGTAAACACTAGAAATGAAAGAATTTAAAAAAGAAATCCTTAGCGAAAAGAAATAAACAATACTTAAAATAACCAACCGGCATTAAAAAATTTCCTAGAGGTTTGAGATACTAAATTCCAAGGTGTCACAGTAACTTTGTTTTAGTGCAGTAACAGAAAAAAAGCAATTAGTACTAGTCTTCAAATATAGTCAGTATACAGAATACATATACACCTTTTGGATATTAATATAATATATATGGTTAAATATCAAAACACAGAAAAGACTACATAGTACTCCAATTCTTTAATACTACTTTCCATTGTCATCAATAGAAAGTGAGGTTTAAATCATAAGAAAACATTCAACTCCTCTTTAATCATAAAATAATTCAAAAGATAATCTGATTCCTGCCACCTCGATTTTCTATCCTCTGACAAAGCTAAACACTGTTGAAAATGTTCTAATTGATAACTTCTTTTCAAATGAGAGGCTTATAAAATGTTATTTTTATATATTTCATACCAACAACTCAAAAAATTCAAAGACTTAAAATTGATATGTATATCTCTTTATCAGGTAACACTTTACTTTCATCTTTACATAATCTAGAAAATAGAGAGATCTGAACCTTAGTGTCCTAGAATCTGTTATATATGAACATATAACAAATACTAGCTAATATGTCAGTCAGAGTGGCATTTTGAGGACATACCATATGTAGGTGCTGCCTAGCTGCTGGGAATAAAACATGAATAAGATACAGTCTTTACCACCAGTTGATTTAAGAGCAAAGTAGGGGGACATAAGAAAATTGCGCAGTACAATAATGTTGGTACTATGATCAAGTACATATAAAGATATAGCAGAGCATAAAACATACATATTTTTCAGGAATGCTCCTATTGTGTCAAGTGAGATATACCTCAAAATGAAACTTGGATTTTTATTTTAAAATCTCAAAAATCAAGGTAAGTATCTGTTCCTGTCACCAAACATTTGTTTTGCACTGGATGCTCATTAAATGTCACAAGGGCCTAAACCCTATATGCCCTCCCGAATCAATTTGCCAAAACCTCATGAGTATTTCTCACGCTGAATTAATGGTAATCATTTTTGGCTAAAATCTGCTTTCACCAATATGATAAACTGCTGCATAAGCAAATAAGATAAAACCTCCCAATCACTTTCAATATAATTTGGAGGGTGGGAGGAAAGCCCAAAGCCAGACATTAGAGCTAAAAAAGGTAAACACCAATATACCTATAAAAACATATAGTATGTTTCTATTTTCTTAGCTTTTCCATAGCATCTTGGAGAGGTGCCAACAAAAAAACAGATACCCAACTGGAATACAGTTATAGTCTTACCTTGGAGTAAATAAATGATGCAAGCAATGATGTTATCCAACAGTCTCAAACTTGCTATTTATACAAACAATACAAAGTAATTGTAGAATTTTAGGAGTTGAGCACAAATTTATCTCAATATAATCCTACTTAAATTCTTCACCTGTCAAATGGACACCTCCTAAAATTACCAGGATTAAATGAGGCCATTTGCTATATCACAAGTAATATATCCTAAAAATGGAAAGTATTAAGTGAGGGAACTGACACCCACAAAAGTATCTCTTCACCCAAAGTTTCACTGTTGGACAGCAGGACTGAGACCAAGACTGAAGACTCGTAATACCTAGCCACAATGCTCCCGTTACTCCTGGATAAAAAGGCAAATGTTATTTTGTCTTTAGAAATCCAAAATACACCAATCAAAAAAAAAAAGTTCGGGGCCGGCCCGGTGGCGCAAGCGGTTAAGTGCGCGCGCTCCGCTGCAGCGGCCCGGGGTTCGCTGGTTCGGATCCCAGGCGCGCACCGACGCACTGCTTGGCAAGCCATGCTGTGGCGACGTCCCATATAAAGTGGAGGAAGATGGGCACAGATGTTAGCCCAGGGCCGTCTTCCTCAGCAAAAAAAGAGGAGGATTGGCAGATGTTAGCACAGGGCTGACCTCCTCACAAAAAAAAAAAAAAAAAAAAAAAAAAAGTTCTGACATACTATTAAGTATAAGGTACTTAAAATAAATTGAGGTGTTATAACTTTTTTCTCACTCTCATTCATTCATTCAAACTATGTGTTCCAGATGCTGTGCTATTTCTTCAATTTGATTTGGCTTCCATTGGGAATTCTGGAGCTAATTCTATTCAGAAGAATTTTTCTTAGCTACTCACCATGAGCAGTAAATGACACTAAGCAGCTTGTTTTTGTGCTGTAATTTGGTTTCAAATCTCTATACTGTGCTCTTCCTGTGGTTGTAATAAATCATATTTTGATTTATTCATCCCTAGCGCTAGTTACCTAGGGACTACTGCCATTTGTACATTCTTTTCTGAACATTTTTTTTCTCCGGAATATTTTAGTACTATTCAAGAAACAAAGGACAAAATAATATTAACCTTCAAACTTCTTATGCAACACACTGTGTTATATTTTTTCTTATGAATTTAAATATCCACCTTAAAAAACACCATCTTACCACTCTTCCAAGGTCCAATCCCTCTCCAGAACCACACCAGAGAAAAATAAATGATCGAGGTGCTGCAATCTCATCAATTTCTAACTTCATAATCTAGAAGAAACCAAAACAATATTGCATAAAAGTATTTTGTTTCCCATTCACCCTAAATCCAAAAGAATAACCACTGAGATTTATCAGGACTTTCAGTAGATGTGTTCTTTAAATGTACTAATTTTCATTAGGAAATATAACGAAAAATAAATTTTATTCTTAAAACTTTTCCTACAGTTGTTTTCTTATTCTGTATTAAGACAACACATACACATGTGCATAGATACACTTGATTTTATATGGCAAGAGGTTACAGGACATATATTTATAGAATTATGGCATTTTATAAGATGTAGCTTTGAGGGCAACCCTTTATGATTTACAGAAAAAGAAACTGAAATAAAAAGAGGTTAAATTACCCCAAAGTTAGGGGCAAAATTAAAATGAAATATAGCAACAAATGTTTGGGGAAGACTTGGTTTCCAATATCTACAGAACAGTCCTAGATAAAACAAATCAGTATATACATTTTATTATAATGACTACTTTAAGTCCGACATGCCAAAAAAATATAGTCTATAATTTTGTTTGCTTTGTATGTGTTTGAGTGTATCACATTAAAAAAAACTTCTTCAATAATTAAATCTATAAATTTTGGGAATACAATATACTCATAAATGACTATAAAAGCAACCATTCTATATGGTAGTCTTTTTCTTTCAGTTTTCTGTCATAGTTAAGAAGTTTCAGAGACCATGGTTCAAGCAAATATTATTAGTTTCATTTATTAAGAAAATCTTAACTTTTACTTGAATAACAGACCCATTTAAGTTATTATATCATCTCTAACTTATCTAGGTAGAAAAACATTATTTGATAGCAATAACGGAAATAAGTTACAATGTGTATAAACCTATTCAGTTTCATACTTCGGATTTTTTTTTTTTTTTGTGAGGAGATCAGCCCTGTGCTAACATCCGCCAATCCTCCTCTTTTTTTGCTGAGGAAGACGGCCCTGGGCTAACATCTGTGCCCATCTTCCTCCACTTTATATGGGACGCCGCCACAGCATGGCTTGCCAAGCAGTGTTGGTGCACGCCCGGGATCCGAACCAGCGAACCCCGGGCCGCCGCAGCGGAGCGCGCGCACTTAACCGCTTGCGCCACCGGGCCGGCCCCATACTTCTGATTTTTTTTTTTTTTTTTTTTTAAAAGATTTTATTTATTCACTTTTTTCCCCCCAAAGCCCCAGCAGATAGTTGTATGTCATAGGTTCACATCCTTCTAGTTGCTGTACGTGGGACTCAGCCTCGCGCTGGACGGAGAAGCGGTGCCTTAGGGCGCGCCCGGGATCCGAACCCGGGCCGCCAGCATCAGAGCGCGCGCACTTAACCGCTAAGCCACGGAGCTGGCCCTGATTTTTTAAGTCTTGAAATCTCTCCTCATCTGATATTCTCATAGGAACATGAATAAATATGTAAGACACACACACACACACACTCACACACACACTCCTACAAACGTTTATATGTGTTATAGCTAAAGATAAGTGACGACTCATCAGTGAGAAACATTAAGCAAATTACACTCTTAACATTGCCATTCTAAATGCTAGGTGTTGGTGTTTTCTTGAAGTGATTATATCCTTAACCAAAACACATAGACCACTACTGACTCTCCAATGTGAAAAAGAATACTTGTGAAACCCAAATACTTTTCTTATTTACATATATTTATTGTATTTACTGGCACTTTCTTTAGGATATTTATCACATAAAGAATAAGAGCTTAGGGCTCTGGGGCCAGACAAAACTTTTCAATATGCCAGCCAGAGCTGTTCAGTGAAATTAACTGAAATCGAGAATATGCGTATAAAATGGAATTCCTTTATTTCAGAAACTTTCTTAGTTTGTCACACATAATTGGAGTTCTTGTGCCTTCAATGACCAACCTCAGAGACTGGCTACAGAAAATAAAGTTCGACATAACTACTAATCAAAGACATAATGAGATTTATTTTTTCAATTTTTTTTTCTTTTGACTATACTGACATAGATTGTTTTTATATTATTAATCACTTTTGATGAGGATATGGTGAAATAGATATTTCTTAAACACTACTGGAAGGAATGTAAATTTGTGCAACCTATCTGGAAAACTTTTCATCAATTAATATCAAGAGCAATAAGTCTTTAACTGGAAGTCTTGGGAATACTATATGCTATATACTTTTCTGAATTTCAACAATAAGCACAGATTACATCTATCGTCAGAGGAGGGTAAAAACTTTTTTTAAATCATAAGAGCCATGAAAATGTAAATAAAAGTGCCAGAGGTATTGAAGCCGACAGGAAAACCTTCAAGGAGGAAGAACTGGAAGTATATCTTGAAGAATCAATAATGTGAACAACGGCAACTACCATTAACTCAGAAAAGGAAAGGCAAGGATTCAAAACAGTTTCCTAGGCAACACCAGGGTTAGAGTTCTGTAGTTCCTTCCTTTCCCTACCTCTCCTCTGTGCTCAACGCCCCTGGTTACTCTCCTTAAAATTCTCTATTCCCTTGGCTTCCTTGACTTCATACTCTGTTGGTTCTCCTCATTCATCTCTGACTCATTCTTTTCACAGCTCTTGACATGTGCCTCTTAAATGTAGTTTCCCGAGGCTTTACTGTCAATCCACATTTTATCTTAATTGAGACACTATGTTAGGACAAATTCATCTATTCTCATAGGTTTAATGTGCTAATCTTCTAAAATCTGTATTTTGAGACCAGATCCGTCCGTCCTTTGAGTTTCGTATTCCTATTACAACCTCCACTTGAATGTCTCAGATACAACTCAAAACCAACATCTTCAACATTATCTAATCCTGCTAATCCTGCTCCTCTTCCTAAATTCACTCTTTCAGCTGGTGATAACTCACCCACTCATCCCAAGACTCAAACCTTTGAGTCATCCTTAACTCTTCCCCTCAGGCCAATCACTAGATCTCACCAAAGTATCTACCAAACATTACTGAATTTATCACCTCCTTTCTATTCTTACTACATCACCCTCATTCAGGGTCCCTCCATCTCCTAACTAGGCTACTGCAACAGTTTTTTCACTGCTTCCTTCTCCAGACTTCTTTTCCTCTAGTCCATCCTCCACACTAATCTGACCATCTTACTAAACTGGTTAAAGTCCTTCAAAGACTCCTAATGTCTTCAGGATAAAAGCCCAAGCTTCTAAGACATCATCTCAAGATAGTCCCAGTCTGTGTTCCAACAACATCACCTACATACAGACCTCCCGCACCCACAAACCAGATATTACCTTTGCCTCCAAAGATAATATCCGCTCTTGCTGTTCCTTCTGCTTGGAATCCCTGTCCCACTCCTTTCTTCATCTGGCCAATTCCAACTAATCAATTTATACTGTCATGTGTCACCTCCTCTTTGTTCATGTGCCCATCTCCTAGGCTTGGTCAGTTTTTCTCGGATCAACTTATGCAGTCCTCTATTATTATTTTTTTTTTGTGAGGAAGATCAGCCCTGAGCTAACATCCGTGCTAATCCTCCTCTTTTTGCTGAGGAAGACCAGCTCTGAGCTAACATCTATTGTCAATCCACCTCCTTTTTTTTTCTTTTTCCCCAAAGCCCCAGTAGATAGTTGTATGTCATAGTTGCACATCCTTCTAGTTGCTGTATGTGGGATGCGGCCTCAGCGTGGCCGGAGAAGCGGTGCGTCGGTGCGTGCCCGGGATACGAACCCGGGCCGCCATAGCGAAGCGCGCATACTTAACCGCTAAGCCACAGAGCAGGCCCTGCAGTCCTCTATTATTGAACTAACAAAATGATAATGCAATTACCTGTTTAGGACAATGTTTATACCATTAAACTGTGTGCCCCTTAAGGCCAAGTACTAAGTCTTATTCATCTTTGAATCTCGAGCACCTAGCACACTGCCTAGTACAGACTGGCACTCAATAAAGATTTATTTTTACTATTTATCAGTAAAAACAGATAACTTTAGGGGCCGGCCTGGTGGCGCAAGTGGTTAAGTGCGCGCGCTCCGCTGCGGCAGCCCGGGGTTCGCTGGTTCGGATCCCGGGCGCGCACCGACGCACTGCTTGGCAAGCTATGCTGTGGCGGCGTCCCATATAAAGTGGAGGAAGATGGGCACAGATGTTAGCCCAGGGCCGTCTTCCTCAGCAAAAAAAAAAAAAAAAAGAGGAGGATTGGCGGATGTTAGCACAGGGCTGATCTCCTCACAAAAAAAAAAACAGATAACTTTACGTAACTGAAGTTATCAGCTTGCTTAATTTTATTTAGGAAAATATAACTTCATCACGATGCTGAAATTATATATCCTTTTTCTCTATTTTAGTGTAAGTTCCTTGAAGTAGAAATCATATAGATATATGTATTCATACGCTGATATTTACTAAAACTAACCCAATGCAGAACAAGTTATCAATCATTCTGTCTGTTTTTAGACTTTTCTAGCTATATATCCAAGAACTCTCAAGACCAGAATTATGAGTCTTCTACAGACTATTTACTCACTACCTGCTCAACTTTTGCCTCAAAAAGAAGAATCAGACTAAAGATATTGTAATATTTGTTAATGTACCTTGGACCTTCAGCCACAATATATACTATGAATCTATATTTATGATTCCTAAAAACATAGGGGTGATATTTATAATCTTACTTTCTGATCAAATAAACATATATTTATTTGAAAAGTAAATAATTCATTACAATGTAGAAAGTTTCATCATACATCATCCCAAGTCCAGCATTTTTCATTAGCAGTGATGCCAGTCTCTCTGTAATATTCTTCTAAAGGGGGTTCCAGAAGAATCACATCAAACTTGGGAGTGAGTTCTCTGATGTCAAAGGCTTCTATATCTGCTTGTAAGTACCTATTTGATTAAAGCGCAAAAAGTGAGTAAGAGATTTTCAAATAACTTACATATGGTAATGAAAGAAATTTCTTAAATATTTCTTAAATAATATATTTATATACTAAATATAAAGAAATGTATTAAATATTACACTATTTACAAAGTAATCATGAGGTAATCACTGAATACCTTTTTATGAAAGGGCATCTTTCTTCAGTATAGACAGAGCATCTACCAGTGCTCTTCCCTAGGAGATGGATAGATTCACACTACAAAGTGAAATCATATTCCCCCACGTACATCCAGAATATAAATTTCTCTCATTTTTACATTGAAAATCCACACTCAGACGTGAGTAAGTCTCAGAGCACTTTCCATTATCATTTGAATTTTCTAAGAAATATCACATTATTTGTTTCTCAACTGTTTAGTTAGGTTAGAAAAACTATTCGTCTGTAAGTTTTAAGTTCCTCCCTCGGAAAAATAGCTTCTAAAGAAGGACATAATTCTCTTTCATTAGATTGTTAGTAAAATTGTTTATATTAATAGTCTTTTCTGGCTACCTAGTATAAATTATTACTAGGCTTTACTGAAAGGTTATTTCCACATAGTATGAAAGTATTTTAAATATAAAATACTTTATTTAAATAGAATGAACAGTAGAGTCTGCTAATATTTTTCCCCACATACTCAGACTTCTTTGTGGTTCTTCTAATCACTAACAGCATACATTTTAGGAAACTGTTAAACGTACAAAACGTTCAAAGTAAGCTAAATGTGAAATAAACAGATTCTCCAATTTCAAAGACCTTATACACAGTTTTGAGCAAAACAGTATTTTGTTTACTAAAAGTTAAAATAAATTTTTGTATTCTAAAATGTTAAGAATAGTATCCTTGGATGCTGAGTTATAATGAGTTTTTTTTTTTTTTTTGTGCGGAAGATCAGCCCTGAGCTAACATCCGTGCTAATCTTCTTTTTGCTGAGGAAGACCGGCTCTGAGCTAACATCTATTGCCAATCCTCCTCCTTTTTTTTTCCCCCCGAAGCCCCCAGCAGCTAGTTGTATGTCATAGTTGCACATCCTTCTAGTTGCTATATGTGGGACGTGGCCTCAGCATGGCCGGAGAAGCGGTGCGTGGGTGCGCGCCCAGGATCCGAACCCGGGCCACCAGTAGCAGAGCACGCTCTTAACCGCTAAGCCACGGGGCCGGCCCTATAATGAATTTTTATTTTCTTCTTTTCCTTCACCTAAGTTTCCCAAACTTTCCTCAAAAAAATAAATTACTTTTTGAGGAAAAAATTCATTTAAAAACATTTTAAAAAACTCAAGAATACAAAAAACATGAATGATTTTCTAAGAAAAAATATTTAAAGACACTTTAAGCAAATTATCTAGAAAATTGAAAACAAATTAAATGAGAACCTACTGTGTGCTCAACACTGGAGTTTCAAACAAATATATTTTACTATAAAGAAGAGATAGAGTGTGTTAACCTTATAAAGGTGCTGAATTTTTTCAAATAGAAAGTTACAGGATAAAAAAATTGACATTCTTAGCCTGAGTTGGGAACAAAGAGTAATTGAAAAACAACACTTACATAGGCGGAGTGTTAGATTTAGCTATTAACTCATCCTTCAGCCTGATGAGCTCCCTCAGTTTAGGATATTCTTCAAATCTGTCAGCCAAACCTGAGGAGGAAAAACAGTAAATTCTAAATTTTAATAAAATTGATGTTAGTATCAGTGCATTCAGAGGTTATGAGCCACTCAGGAAAACAAAACAGTGCAGACACACCACTTGATTCTCAAGTTCTTTTAAAAAAGTTAATTTTGAGTATTTCTAAACATTTCGTATATACATTTCATACTTAATGACCCCAATCCCATATGCAGGCAAAACCCCAGATGTTCTAAAGCCCAGTTCAAGTCAATAAACCATTTAAATTTCTCATATTTATTAAGTTAAATAATCTGCTCATAGCATCAAGTTTAGCCATTCTGTTCTCAGAAAAACAACTGCTTTTCTATCATGCGTTTTTCCCCCTTTCTTTTAGCTAAAAAAATTCTTTCTCCTAAAGAATCCAGTGATTGTTGAGATTTTTACTTAGCTTCTTAGATAGTTATCCAAAGCAGAGAAAATGAATAGTTCTTTTGTTTTCTATGGTTAGATACAGGAAGGGACAAAGAATAGTGCGAGGTGAGATAAATACTGCTGATGATCTTAAATTAATTGGCTATGCCTTGTGGATACAACCCCAGAACAAATCTAGTTAAGATAATGAGTCCCTAACAGTAGATTAGCTCTCACTCTGATTACTTATCTAAATTGAACTACCAATTCCAAGATACGATGCTTTCTCTAAGAATATTTCCTATATCAATATTTATAGTTTTAAAGATCTCACATCTCCACATTATTACAAACCAAATCCTCATATATATTTCTAGGCTTAGGACCCTGAAAAACGTCTACAAGTTTCACAAAGGGTACTTAAATTAGGAGACTCACTGTTCCCAGGTCCTCAAAAATATTTTAGATCTCTGAGCCTCAGAAGAGATTTTAGGTAAAAGAGCATTTAAACAACTGTAGGGATAAGTAGGGCTTTGAATATCAAAGATTCCTAAAAGCTCTTCTTTGCCCCACCCCCGCCCTGCACAAGAAGCACATTCACAACAACATAAATTATGCAAACATCTTAATTTAAAAACCAAAAGTAAATATATTAGTAATTTTAATATCAAAGAGCAAAAGTAAAAGATTTTGTAAAGCCTCCTCAATCAGTGGTTATAGATCTAATTTCAAATAAAGTAAGTTTGAAGATTTTATTATACTCAGGTTTCAATCACAGCAGTCAGCTCTCAACTATCTACAAAACAAAGGAGCAACTTTTTCTCAATGCATAAGAGTTTCCTAAGTACATTTTCTTTGCCTTGGGGAAGTAAGTGTCTTAAAAGCAGAAAGGTTGATATCAAAATCTGGTTATACAACTTAACATAAGTTTTTTTTTAAAAAAGCTTTGTTGAAGTATAATTGATATACAAAATAGTACACATATTTAATGTATACAATTTGATGAGTTTCAACATATGCATACACATGTGAAACCATCACCATAATCACGGTAATAGACATATCCTTCACCTCCAAAAGTTTCCTTGTGTTCCTCGGGGGGTGTGTGTGTGTGTGTGTGTGTGTGTGTGTAGTAAGAACACTTAAGTAAGATGAGACCTACCCTCTAAACAAATTTAGTAAAGCACTGTTGACTACAGTCAACAGTTGCTAACTACAGGCACTATGCTATACAGTACATCTCTAGAATTAACTCATCTTGCAGAACTGAAACTTTATACCAATTGAACAACTCCCTATTTTCCCCTCCCTCCAGCCCCTGATAACCACTGTTCTATTTTCTGCTTCTATGAGTTTGACTATTTTAGGTACCTCATAAAAGTGTATGTATTTATCATATTACATATACTATCTTAGGTACCTCTGTAAGTACATGCATATTTGTCCTCTGACTGGCTTATTTCACTCAGTATTATCATAACTTTTTATAGCTACATCTAAATTTTGCTCATGAAAACATTAAAATCAGTTTTTACTTCAAGAGTAATGTTGCTTACAAGCAACAAAAGTAAATTGGATTACATCAAAATTAAAATTTTTGCACTGCAAATGATACCATCAAGCAAGTGAAAAGACAACTCAGAGAATGGGAGAAAATATATGCAACTCATATGTCTGATAAGAAATTTGTACTGAGAATATATAAAAGAACTCTTGCGATTTAATAATAAAAGATAACCAATTAAAAATAAGCAAAGAGTTTGGACATTTCTCCATGCAGGTATTTAAATGGCCAACAGGCATATGAAAAGATGCTTAATATCATTAGTCACTAGGGAAATACAAGTCACTAGGGAAATACAAATCAAAACCACAATGAAATACTACTCCATACCCACCAGGATAACTATAATCAAAGAGACAGATACTAATAAGTATCAAAGATGAGAAGAAACTGGAACCCTCACACATTGTGAGTAGGAATATAAAATGGTACAGCTGCTTTGAAAACAGTTGAGCAGTTCCTCAACAAGTTAAACACAGAGTTACCACACGACCCAGCTATTCCACTTCTAGTTACATACCCAAGAAAATTAAAAGCATATGTCCACACAAAAACTACATGAATATTCATAGCAGCATTGTTTATAACAGTCCAAAAATGGAAACAACCCGCATGAATGGATTAACAAAATGTCATATATACATACAATGGAGTATTATTTGGCAATAAAAAGAAATGAAGTACTGATACATGCTACAACATCAACGACCCTTGAAAACATTATACTACGTAAAAGAAGCCAGTCACAAAATACCACATATTATGCGATTCCATTTATATGAAATGTCTAGAAAAGGGAAATTGACAGACAGGAAGTCAATTAGTGGTTACTTAAGGTGGGGGTGGGTACTGATGAAAGAAAGGGAACGGGAATTCACTGCTAATAAGTACTGCGTTTCTTTAGGGGAGATGAAAATGTTCTTAAATTAGATTGTGGTAATGGTTGCACAAACCTGTGGATATACTAACGAAAACTGAATTATATCCTTAAATGGGTGAATTATATGGTACATGAATTATCTCAATAAAGCTGTTTTTAAAAATGCAGGGATCATGCCTTTGATAGGCTTATTAGCAGACTGGACACAGCTGAGGAAAGATTATCTGAGCTTGAGGATATCTCAATAGAAACCTCAAAAACTGAAAAGCAAAGAGAACAAAGACTGAATGAAAAAAAAGGCCAGAATATCTAAGGACTGTGGGACTACGAAAGGTTTAACATATCTGTAATGGAAATATCAAAAGGAGAAAGAGAGAGAGGAACAGAAGAAATATTTGAAAGAATAATGACTGTGAATTTCCCCAAATTAATGTCAGACATCAAACCACACACTAAGGAAGCTCAGAGAACACCAAGCAGGATAAATGCCAAAAAATCGTACAGCTAGGCATATCATTTTCAAACTATAGAAAATCAAAGATTAAAAAGAAAATCTTGAAAGAAATTGGAGGGAAAAAACACCGCACCTATAAAGGAACAAAGATTAGAATTATATCCAAGTTCTCCTCAGAAATATGCAAGCAAGAAGAGAGGAGTGAAATAGTTAGTGTTGAAAGAAAAAAAAAATCACCCAGAATTCTGTACTCTGTGAAATTATCCTTCAAAAGTAAAGGAGAAACAAACAGTTTCTTAGACAGACAAAAATTGAGGAGCTTTGTTGCCAGCAGATATGCCTTGCAAGTCATGTGAAAAGAAATTTTTCAGATATAAGGAGAATAATATAGGTCAGAAAATTAGATTTACATAAAGAAAGGAAGAACATCGAAGAAGGAACAAGTGAAGGTAAAATAAAAATGCAGACATAGTCACAGAACCACAGGAGGGAGGGAGGAAAGAAAACAGTAACATTGCTTGATGGAAAAGGAGGGTTGTACTAGAAATACCGAGAATGAAAATGGGAAGCCAAGCTAGGAAAATAATTTTATTAGAAATACTCCACAAAAGGGATAAATTACATGCATGTAATCAAGAGTTAGTAATAGTATATTCCCAACAAATCTGACATACCTACATCCCTGATGAAATTCTGAGGTCTATGTCCAGTGTCTACAAAATGTTGGCAGTAATCATTATGGGGATTTAAACTCTGTGTTCCCTAAAGAAAAAGTCAAAATTAAATTAACAGCATTCACTCTGATGGCAGATAGACCAACTCTGTACAGCAGTTCCCCCTTACCCGTGGGGGATACGTTCCAACACCCCCAGTGGATGCCTGAAACCACAGATAGTACCAAACCCTATATATACCCCATACATACCTATGATAAAGTTTAATTTATAAATTAGACACGGTAAAAGATTAACAATAACTTCTCTTTGGCATATCCGAGCTGCTAGCATCACTGCTCTTGCACTTTGGGGTCATTATTAAATAAAATAAGGGTTACTTGAACACAAGCACTGCAATACCGAGACAGTCGATTTGATAACCAACACAGCCACTAGGTGACCAATGGGCAGGTAGCCTGTACATTGTGGAGCCTCTGGACAAAGGGATGAGTCACGTCCCAGGTGGGATGGAGCAGGATGGCTCAAGATTTCATCATGCTACTCAGAACACCGTGCAATTTAAAACTTATGAATTGTTGATTTCTGGAATTTTCCATTTAATATTTTTGGGACGTGGCTGACCACAGAAAACTGAAACCGTGGAAAGCAAAATCATGGATAAAAGGGGACTACTATATTTTGTTTTTTATTATAAGGGCATACAAAATATAAGTTCATTGATAGATTAAAAAAAATTAGTAACATCTGAAAACACCACAACTAAAATGATAGTATTACTCATCAGTAGCTACAGACATGAATGCAGCATTACCTTATCCTAAAAAGCCAAATATCAGAAGACTATTTCATAAATAATTTTGAATCATCTTTTTAATAATGATCCTTCAATAACTGAAAAAAATCTAGAAAAGAAGTAAGTATTTAAAATCTTTTCAGGCACAGAGCTGAAATGTGAAAAGTTCTAAGATTTGAAAATTATTTATTTACCTTAAGAAAAGTACTAGAATCTTTGTAAATCTCTTCTTCATATGGCAAATTCTCTTCTTCCTGTTGCATTTCTAGTTCATCCTTGGAAGAGGAAGATTAAGTAGATATTTTATGTATAGGAGGAATATTTTATGTATTATGGTATCTTGATTATTAAAACCCAATATAAATATTTTATTTCCCTAAGATACAATAAATTTTTCAAATTACCATTGAAGTTAAACACTGAAGTCTTTGCTTTCTCATCATAAGATCTAACTAGTTATATTTATGATAAAATAAAAATTTCCTTTTCATTCTCATCAATAATAAATAATTGTCTATAACTACCAATTTTGTTGACTGAAATGTCTAGAATTATTTATCTTATATATAATGCCATAAATATTAGAATTTAGCTCAAATCATGAAAGATATGACCACCAACGGGGTAATTTTATGTCAATTAGATCAAACCATATGTAACTGCTATTTTTATAGATCAAAAATGTTAAGATATCGGGAATTGTATATGGTTTAACCTAAAACAATCACAAATACTTAAGTTACATATTAGCTATATCAAAATGCAACACACAAGACAATATTTATGAGATTAGGTAATTATATCATTGAACTTCCTAGAGATTTATTGAAACTATGCATTCTCTTCTCTATTAAATATAGTTGTACAATAATTAATTTAAAAAAATAGAGATAGGTTTTTTGTCCATCATACTTTCTTTTCAACTAAATATTGCAATTACAAATTTAGAAGTCGGAATTTTTTTTCTTAGGCCTCTTTCAGAAATGGTTCTACACTGCTGTCTAGCCCATGAGTTCTCAAAATATTTTAATTGTACTATCCTATATTGTTAACATGGAATAACACCACTCAAAAACGATAGTATTGTAGCCTCTCAAAATTTGATCCAATTATCCAAAGTTTCTGATATACATACCTCTTTACTCTTATTTAAGAATATTATTGCCTGGTGCTTACCAGGCATTATGCTGAATGCTTTATATATGTCACCTAACTTAATACACACACCTCTGGCGTTAAAATGAGGAAACTGATATGAAGGTCTTAATTTAACTGATTATACATATGCTACTATTATTTTAGATACTTTAAAATTCAGTTTTCCATCAAATTTGTTTTCCTGGATAAGAATCTATTATCATAAGGATTTATTTTTTCTTGACCATAAAACTGCCCCATTCTCTACTTGCCTTATATTCTTCCATTTTGTCTTCATCTGTCTCTCCTTCATCCTGATACTTACGTTTTGCATTTGGAGCAGAGGTATCATAGGAAGCCCTGAAAATTAAAACTTAAGTATCACGTACAAATATATACAAAATATATAAACACATCTATTAACAATATTAAATAACAGGTTATAAAAACAGAACAAGGCAAATTTTTCCTGATTAAACAGTATCTATTCACCCAGTTTATAAATCTAAAAAGTCACAAAACCTGATTGATAATTCTGTACTTTATTTTTATGAGAAAGCAACCAAATGAGAAAATAAGCTTTTATAAGGGATGTACAGCAAAAAGAAACTTCTATATTATCTATCATTCTAATCTGTCTTGAGCAAACTTGATGCTCAAATTGATAATTAGAATACTGAAAAATTCTGAAATGCTTTATAAACTATCAAATGAATACCACTTTTATAATTTTATTTATTTATTTATTTTCCCCCCAAAGCCCCAGCAGATAGTTGTATGTCAGAGTTGCATGTCCTTCTAGTTGCTGTACGTGGGACGCGGCCTCAGCATGGCCGGAGAAGTGGTGTGTCGGTGCGCGCCCGGGATCTGAACCCAGGCCGCCAGCAGCGGAGCGCTCACACTTAACCACTAAGCCACGGGGCTGGCCCCGTGAATATCACTTTTAGAGTAAAGCATGTTTTCTTCTATGAGAATTTTTAAAATATAATTATTTATTTATGGTATATAAGTTAATTCTTAGTCTAACATTCCATTTTCTAACTACTTTATAAATGAGAACTTATTATATTCAGAAAATAAGTATTTCATTATTAACTAACGATAAAAACCAGTACGTCTGAAATCTTTATTTTGATGCTTGTCATAAAATATACCTCATACCTAGGATTATTTGTTTACTAAAACAATGATCCTTGCACAATATTAACGTCATTAAAAAAAATTATTCAACTGACCTGCAAGTTTCTCTTGTTTCAGCAATTTCTCTCTGCTCATCTTTGCTATTTAACACAGCACCAATGCTATCAGCGCTTTCAGCTCCCAACTAGAAGGGGCAAAAATAAAAAATCAGATCACAATGCATTGGATAGCCTTCCAGCCATTTGTAGCAGCATTTAATATTTCAAGTATTAACCAACAAAAAGCAACCTGTAACAACCTCAGCAGGCAAATGGATTAATTACTATGCAGGAAAAACTGGAAATACCTTGGAACAAAACCATGTTAATTAAGAATGATTTTGAGGGGGCCGGCCTGGTGGCACAAGCGGTTAAGTGCGCACGCTCCACTGCGGCGGCCAGGGGTTCACCGGTTCAGATCCCCTGGCGCAAACCGAGGCACCGCCTGGCAAGCCATACTGCGGCAGCATCCCATATAAAGTGGAGGAAGATGGGCACGGATGTTAGTACAGAGCCAGTTTTCCTCAGCAAAAAAAGAGGAGGATTGGCAGATGTTAGCACAGGGCTGATCTTCCTCACACACACAAAAAAAGAATGATTTTGAAAAGCATTTTAAGCTCTCAGTTATATTTGAAATTAAGAAACTTAACTTTAGCCAATCCCCTACTTTTAAAGTAAACAATATGATTTAGTAGTAGCAGCAATAACAAAAAAAGCAGCTTGCTTACAGTGTTTATAGTGTAGTAGGCACTACATTACACATTTCACATCCATCAGCTCATGTATTATACCTCATTTATCCCATGCTGTAATAAATATCTATCCAGTTTCACTCAAGCCAAGTCTTTATATAATTATTGTAGGCACAATATTGAACTTTACTAATACCTAAAAAATGACAAGGCAAATTCTGGCTGGCAGTTGGGGAAATTTTGCAAAATACAACAAATGCATACAAATTACTAGTTGAGATAAGGCTGCCTACGTAGAGTGGGATCAGTTCATGGAAAACTTGAAAAGCCAAACCAAGAAGCGTAGAATACAATTTATAGGCCGTGAGGAAGCATTTAATATTTTTAAGCACAAGAAGGGCGTGAGGAAATCTGTGTTAAATAGTCCCTTTTGCTGAGGAAAGGGGAGAAGGCATATTAAATACCAGAGCTGCAAGTCCCCAGTCTTGATCTTCAACAGTTGCCACTGCCTTTTTAGACTATCCACTTCATGACTCCCCTAAGGTTTCTCCAAGAATAAATCTCTTCCAATACATCAACTGTTCCTGAAATTTTAACTCTTTCATAAAAATCTCCCTGACCCCTACTCTCTTTAGTCGGAAGACACATCTACTTCCCATAGTTGGAATGCTTTCTCACCTTCTTCCCATGACTGACTCTTCTCTCTTTAAGTCTCAGATCTGTACAAGTTATTTCCTCAAAGAAGGTTCTTCCATGAACACCGTATCTAGAATAGGTAGCCTCCTACCATTATTCTCCTTTTTACCTCCCCATTTCCTTACTCAGATCACAGCACTTAATACAATTTTCAATAATTTTATGTTTTACTTTTGTTTACTCCCTATTTATATTGTTTCACAGTCTCTATCATAACTTTCAATTATTTTGTGTACTTCAATTATTTTATCAATTTACTTTTGTTTACTTCTCCCCCACAGAAATGTAAGCCCCCTGAGGGGAAGAACTCTGTCTGTCCTCTTGATATCTGTATGTTTGGCAGCTAGTATAATGTCTGACTCACAGCAGATACTCAATAAATATATGAATGACCCAATGAGATTTCCTACTAAGGCCTAAATTAGAATCCAAGGTATTACAAGAGAACTGCTTTAAATCAAAATTTTGCTCACACATATAATTGTCTTCTCATGCTCCAACATTTTAAAAAAATTGTGGAATGACTGGAGTTAAGTAAATAATAGATTTTCCATTATGGTAGCACCAAATACATCATTTGAATAATTATGACAATTTGGTATCATCTGAAAGCATACATGATTTTTTGAAACAAAGCTCTAAGTTAAATGAAAAGCAGATGTAAATTGCCGGTGGTAGCATCAACTGCCATTATGGTCTGGACCTCCATAAGGCAGCCAATGTCTCCATCCAGAAGACAAACGCAAATCACACAGAGTTGTGCTCTACTCTAAGAGTCCATAAATCAACAAACATTTATTAAAAGCTTACTTTCAGCAAGAAACAAAGTTACAGGAAAAGATTAACCCAACGGGAATTAAATGCAAAGACTCTGCACTCCAACTGTTTACATTCTGTATGACAATAAGTAATATATAGAAGGAGACTCAACAATAAGCATACTGGAACTCAGAGGAAGAAGACCCTAAGCCAGGGAGATCGGGATAGGTTTCATCATAAAGTTCTGACCTGAGCAATGCCATAGAGGATAGACGGAAATTAGAAAGAAGGACAATTTTTAAAAAATCATAAAGTATTTATTGCACAAATCAGTAATAAACCAGTCTGTCTTGTTCATACAGAGAAAAGTAAGTGAAAGAAAGGCTGAAATCAGGTGGTAAAGTGGAAGTCTGTCAATGATCCTATCAGACATCCTTCCTTAGGTGGAATGGTTCCTATCCAACTAGAAGACCAGGAGGCAGCTAGGTGTACTGCAGAGAGCATGAAAAGGCGTAAAACTGTAGCTTGCAAACTTACCAGCTTTGTGGGCTTCAGCAAGTACCTTAAATTCTTTGAGCTTTATTTTCTTCATTGATAAGATGCAGATAGTATCTGACTTATACAGGCAAAGATAATCTATGTAAAAATCTTAGCAGTCTTGACACACGCAAAGGAGTTAAATGGCAGCCATTATTAAATTTTATGCACTAAGTAAGCTCTTTGAGGGTAGGGACTACTGATTATTCATAGCTGAATTCCCAATGCCTACTAAATGAGCCCCTAGCACATGTAAGACCCTCAACAAATAATTGTTCTATGAATGTATTTTGAGTTAAATAGAAGTTTGAATTCAAAACTAAAGCATAAGCAAGTTCCTTGGTGGCAACAAGGAGCTACTGAACATATCTGAAGATAACATGACAAAAGAAGCTGGGAAAGGGGCTGGTCGAGTGGCCTAGTGGTTAAGTTTGGCACACTCCACTTCAGAGGCCTGGGTTCGCAGGTTCTGATGCTGGCTGTGGACCTACATCACTGATCAAGCCATGCTGTGGCCACAACCCACATACAAAATAGAGGAAGACTGGCAATAGATGTTAGCTCAGGGCCAATCTTCCTAACCAAAAAAAAAAAAAAAAAAAGTTGGGAAAAATAAGGCTTAGAAAAGATACCTGATTTGTCCAAGATCATAAAGTCACACAGACAGGAACAGATCTGATTCCAAATTCCCACATTTTTAACACTATACCATAAATCTTTTCATCACATCATAAAAGAGGATAGGTTTCAGATTTGCACATTTACTAAAACCAATATTTATTACTGAAAAAATAACAATAAGATGCCTTATTAAAGCCTATGAGCATTTCTCCCATCACTTTTACTGACCTCAATGGCAAAATGGAAAACACAGCCTCTGATTTTAGGTAGAGGTATGCAGCATCTGCCTTTTTTGCGTGTGTACTCTAATAATCAGCAAGTGTTAACACAGTCACACACAAGAAGCAGTGAAGACAAGCTTTGGAGAAATAAATTTGGGTTCAATTTTCTGGCATACCAGTGAGTGACCTGAGGCAAAAATTACTTAACTTCTAGAGCCCCTGTTTCATTATTCCATAAGCGAAGATAATGCTATTTGTATCAGGGGTTTATCCTGACTGACACAGAGTATGAATTCAAATATTAGCTGTGGGTAACAAGGACACTGTACACAGCACAGCGGACTGCAATATACAAGACGCAGAATCTAAAATTTACACTCAGGTTACTTCCAATGCAGTCTTTAGACACGATCCCCAAGCAAATACTGTAAACCTATTTCACAATGAAGCTACAATCTCAAGGTGCTGACTACGAGGAAAGGCAAGAGAGGAAAGACAAGACCACTTAACCAGTGAAGAGAAATTTAGGGGATAACAAGTCATTTTTCCTTGCGTGAACTGCAGTAATTTATTCACAAAGACCAAAGCTTTGTATCCCCATCATTGAGCCGTGCCAGACACTTGGCGGGCATTCCATAAAGGCTGCTGAAGACCAACTGTGGGGTTCAGTTGAGCAGCACAACGACCGCGACACAAAATGGAAAATATTCAGGGCACCGCAGGAGTTCAGAACAAGAAGGGTTGGTATGTCCAGGGATCAGGGTCGCCGGACCAGAAAGGACCACACCGCAGCAGGTAGGGAGGCGACAGAGAAGGGCAGGCGGAGGGGAGAGGGCGGCCGCGCACGCGCATTCGGGATCCCTCCCTGGGCCGCGGACCTGCTGCGCGAGGAGCTGTCGCCGTAGCTTCTGCCGCTCCCGGATCTCCTGCAAGCGGCTGTCCATGTCCCAACTCCTGTTTTCCACTACCCCGAAAACTTGACAGTGAGCGGATGAATCGCCGCCTAACTTTTCTTCCGAGTCTATCGAACACAAGAGTCTTCAAGAGCTACAGGCGGCGAGCATCCCTCACCTTTTCCGCAATGGGTATTTCCGGCGCGGCCGGAAGTCCCGCCTCCTCTCGGACGCCCGCGACGTGACGCAGCCTGGAAGGGGACCAATGAGGGAGGCGGCGGTGCCGCGGGGACTGGGAAGCTCCGGGCTCCCCCGAGCCGCGGATGTCAGAGCGGGTCCGGGGCGGGCCCGCCGTCTGGCTTCTCGCCTGTCCTCTCTTTCCAGGACATCAGCCTCCCTTGGTGTATCAGCACTGTTTCCGAGGTGTGGACCGTTTTGTTGATTCCCTCTTACGTTACTCCCCAGTTGCCAGCCCTGACGTTTTAAAAATTGCCGGATACCAGTTTTTCACTGAAAGCACAAACTCGCGCCAGATTGCCAGGTTTGAGCCCTGGTCTGCGTTTACCAGCTGCATCGCCGTGGCTGCTTAATCACCTCCGTAAGCCTCCGTTTTCTCGTTTGTAAAATGGGAGTAGTCAGAGTGTCTGCCTCACAGAGTTGTGAAGATTGAAAGAATCAACAGAGCCTGGCACATAGCGCCATAAAGTGTTTATTATTGTTAAGAGTTTTACTTACTTTTCCCTCCCTTCCTTATTACTTACTTTTTATTACTTACTTTTCCCTGGAACAACCACCACATGTGCCCGTGCTCTTTTCCACACCTCGCCAGCCCTTGAGAAGTTTCCTACTTTACCGTGATGCATTTTATGGATTCTTCTCTAGGGAACCGGATGGGTGATGGTAAAATGCTTCTTGGTTCGTGTCCTAGAGGTCAGAGGCTGGGGGACCCCTTTTTGCGCTTGTACATTTGTCTTAGCTGGAAATAACCTTGGGAAGTGGAAACAAATAGACTACTGAAATTACCGGGGTTTGGGGGCTGGGGGGTGCACGGTGGCGATTCTCCTCTCTTCATAAGAAGGCAGCAAAGACTAAAGTCTTAAGTTATTACCATTATTATCCACTGCGTTTGTCATCTTATTCCAAATTCAAAGTGGCAGAAAAGACATAATGTGGTCTCAAGTTTAAATGGAAACTGTGGCAAGTACTTGCCAACATTGTAACAAGTCTTTATTCTTTGAGAGTGGATTTAATTTTTGAAAATTGAAAATAGTATTAAAACTTTTAGGTCAAAACCAGGTAAGTCAGGGTAGGCAAAAGGGAGCAGTACTAGATTCTGCTAATTATCATGTATTTCTCAAGAACTAGCTCTAAAAGACAGTTTCAGAAGAGGAGTTCTAAAAAAAATCTCTTGAGTAATGGCAGGCAGAGCTATTTGAAAAAGTGTGCTCACTTCAAGGGGCATATAGTGTTAAAGACAATACTGATTTGTACATATGAGTTAGTGTGTTTCTTTAAAAATCAGTTACATTACCTGCCAATCGGACAAGTTGAGTACTGATTTGAACTATTTATCAACGATGGAAGTAGGCATTTGTTCACTCAAATATTTAGTGATATTTATTGAGTGTTTTATATAGCAGTCAACCGTGGTAGACCCTAGAGTGTGTCAAGTTTATAAGAGATCAAAGACTAAATAAGTCAGTTTTTCTTTGTGGAATTTACTACCTAAAGGAGGAAACATTTTTTTTCCTGGTCAAGTGCAGTGCAGGTGATTTGCCTGTGGTCTTTGAGCCCCATACTCACCTAAACTCTGCTCTGTGATGATGGTTGGGTTGGGTGTCTGCAAACTACATTTCCCAGCCTTCCTTGTCAGATGGCTGTTTGTAAGATTCTGCCGAGAGAAGGCACAGGCAGGAAATCAGAAGATGGAACATGGGAAAACTATTCATTTCTTTTACTCCCTGCTTCTGGCAACCATGGGAGTGACTGTGTCCTTTACAAAGTCCCAGAGCCAGTTGCAGTAGCCCTTCCTTAGTGGCCCTGTCTTCCTTTTTCCACCCTCATGCGGCACCCACAGCAGTGGTTTGCTCTTGAGCTCTGATATACCACCTTCGCCCTCTGTTCTACCACCTGTAGGACTGGCAGCCACTCCTGCAGCTAGGAATTTCTGCTTTAATCTTACGGTCCCCTTTTTGCTCTTCTAGCCTTCAACACCTGTGTAAACATTTCTCCATAGTAAATGCTATGTACTTAGAATTCTTGAAATGATTTCTGTTTTCCTGCCTGGAACGTGGACTGGTAAAGATGCAAATGGGATCTACCTTATACTATTTACAAAGCCATTGGAATCCAGCAGAGGGTTGTTGAAGTGTTCACATAGAAAGGGATATAACTCTGAAATCTATCTCCCAACCAATGAATGTTAAAACACTAGACCATGTCAGGACACCTGTAGGGTACTGTACATGCCTATCAGTAATGTCTGTTCATCATGGCGACGTAAGAGCTACTAGGGACTGTGTGTGTGATGGAGAGAGGGAAGAGAAGAAATGTGGAAAGTCCCCACGTATAATTCATACTCTTTGAAAAAGCAATTCCACTTCTGTACACTTATTTTAAGGAAGTAATGAGAGATCCACATAACAATGTTATGCATCTCCCCGTAAGCTCCTTGAGAATGACTCCTCCAAACCTAGACATCCAACTGCCTGTCGTAATATCTTATTAAAATGTTCCTCACAATCTCAAGCTTAAAATAGATTAAAACCTAAATTCATCATCTACTTCCATCCTCTCAAAAAAAAAAATCAATTCTACTCCAGTGCTTCCTATTTCAGAGAATAGGATCAATATCCACGCATTTTCCTAAATAAGGAGCACTCCAGGGCCGGCCCCGTGGCTTAGCGGTTAAGTGCGCCCGCTGCGCTGCTGGCTGCCCAGGTTCGGATCCCGGGCGCGCACCGATGCACCGCTTCTCTGGCCGTGCTGAGGCGGCGTCCCACATACAGCAACTAGAAGGATGTGCGTCTATGACATACAACTATCTACTGGGGCTTTGGGGGAAAAATAAATTTAAAAAAAATTTTAAAAAAAAGGAGCACTCCACCTCTTCCTCAGCCTCCTTATCTACTCTGTGACTGTAGCTCTGCCCCTGCCTCCAACCCTGACACAGGCTTCATTTCTGCAACCACAACCTGTGGGTGTTATGTATCCTGATTCATATCCTAATTGGTCTACTGCTTTCCGGTCTATCAAATTCTTCCTAGAGATTTGTGGAAAATTATAATTTTATCATTTACAACTCTGCTCAAAATTTTTTCATGTTTCGTCAATGTCTAGGTCAGTGCTGTCCAACAGAACTTTCTATAATAGAAATGTGCTACCTGCACTAACCAATATGGTAGCCACTAGCATTATGTATCCACTGAGCAACTGAAATGTGGCTACTGTACCCAGGAACTGAATTTTTTATTTTATTTTAATTAATTAAATTTAATTACCCATATTTGGCTAGTGGCTACCATATTGGACAACAGAGGTCTTGGTTCAACGGGATAAAAATCTAAAGCACTTAGCATTATATATAATCCTCTGCCACCCTGCTCAGCCTCATTCTATTCTTTATGTACTCAATTTTCCAGGCATATTCAAGTTTTTGTCTTTTTTTCCCAGATGTGACTTCTTTCTTGTACTTTTTACGAATTTATAATTGGGTAAGAGAAAATTCTCCTACAATAAAGAGATAGGCTCCAAAATGACTTTTAAAATATACAGCATTGGGTAAGCAGAATTTTTCAGGAAAGCACTTAAGATAGAATGAATGTCAGAATCTGCTGCTGACTTCTGCTTTCTCTCAGTGCCTTGTAAAAAGCAGACACTCAATAGATGCTTATTGATGAACGTGTTGATTGAGGCTAACTGTCTGTAACTTTTCTGGGATTTGTTGGAAAGATTGATTGTGAGTAGCTGTGCTGAGGAGGGATAGGAGACAGCCAGACAGCATTCCACATCTTCTACATCATCCTTGAAAATTCATTTATAGCAATTAGATGCAGAAGGTTTCCCGGTCTGTGCATTTTATTGTGCTCAACAGGACAACTGCTAAGATCTAGTGCAGCTGTGGCACAAGAGGATATTTAACAAGCCTCATGTGTCGAATAAATGGACTAAATAAGAAACAGGAATGACGATTGTTTTTCTTATCACTTGTCAATAGACTTTTTAAGGGTATTGTGAGTACATAAAAATATTTTTAAAGTATTGGTTTCCTGGAATATAAAGTAAGAAGAGATGTATTTCACAGACTATATGTCAATATCAAATGGAAATGTGTGGAGAAGTGAATGAGTTTGATTTATTTGGGGAATCTGCAGAAAACATCTGTGTTGTCTTTTCGAAGTATCCAAAATTGGGAGGAAAGTGAGAAAAGGCAAGATAAAAAGAATAAAATAATACCAAGACATTATAAGTAATGTCGATATATTTAACTGAGTAGACGAAGAAAAATATTTAAATGTTGGTTAATGTAATGTTAGTTTGCTGTGTTATTTGAGAAAATCATTTCTGCTAGAGAGTACAGAATAGGATGGATGAATCCCCTAGGATGTGTTAAGTACAGATAATGAGTGAGCAAGTAGCTTTTGAGACAGGCAGAGTTCATAAGATGTGCTAAATACAGATACTAAGTAACCCTGTAACCTGAAAGATGTAAGCTAGATAGACTAAATGAAATGAATGATGGAACAAACAGGAGTGTGATTTATAGATGGAAAGTAATGGAAAGACCATATCATGATCTTGCTACCTCTGGGCTGACAGCCATGTCACCCTTACACTGGCCACCCAAACGTGCTCTGCCCAAGAACTGCTGATAGTATCTATATCTGTTGGCAGACTCATTGGCAAGCTACGGCTATGGCCAGGTATATTTGCCACTGCTTCTTTTTAATAGAGCAAGTGTGTATCATTGGCCCCAGGCACCTTCTGTCTGTTGACCTCCTTGCTCAGATGTCAGTCTGTCCTCCAGTCATCGGTGAGGAAGGCTGATGCAGCAGAGAGAGAGAGAGGGAGACCATATGTACATTGCATAACTTGGGATTCATGTAGTGTGGTCCTTCCCACTTACATCTTAAAGTGTGGTAACTTACCCCATCTCTTTCCTCTTGCTTTAAAGGGGGGTGTGATTTGAGAATCTCCAT